TGAGGATCAAAGTTATCAGGAGGGACATATCTGACATTTATTTAGCTGTGACCTGTAATTATTAATCTATAGTTACTGCCTCTTGTTTCTGCTTATTTAATTATTTGTTTTGTTATCTTTCAATAAGGCAATTAGAAACTTGGGCATTAAAGACCTGTATCTGTACCTGATGCTGAATGCAAGCATTTGTGTTTCCTTGTGAATGACACTGAGGGAAAAAGAAAAAAAAATCATTAGTGCAATGCAGATGAATGAAAGGTTACATGAAGGCCAAGGTGTTGAAAATAACAAAAACCAGAGAGAAAGCAGTAGAGTTGTGGAACAAAGTCCTGTGGATTGAACCAAAATTTTAAATCTCTATCAAAATGACAGAAAGAAGAAAGAGTAAGAAAAAAGGAACAACTCATGACCCAAAGCAACACCTCATCTGTCAAATATGGTGGTGCTTCTGTTACTGAGTGTGTATGGTTTGCTGGTGGAACCAGTACGCTGACATTTATTGATGATTTCAGTGCCGGTGGAAGAAACACGAATGCAGTGGTGCAGGAGACTTCTGTGTGCTCAGACTGAACCAAATGCAACAAAACTCAGTGCATGATATCATCAGTAATGGTTGCAAGTATAAGCCCAGTGTAACCAAAGAGGTTTTTCAGGATGAAGACAAGCAATATCATCAAGTGATCTAGTCAGAAAACATGATTAAATTTATAACAATCAGTAGATAACCATCATTTTACAATCTACTTTTACTGAACCACTAACCCTGTAGAGCCACAAAGGTTGAGGGATGAATATTTGTGGTGTGGACTGTGTTACCAGATGAGTTACCGAGTGCCAAGTAGCATGGAAGAAAAACTTTCATTCTTAGCTCGCCTTCACTGTCACCAGAGTTTCACCGTGACCTTTGAGTTAATATCATTTCCTGCTGTTCCTCCATCTAGACTCAGCCCAGAGCCCGCAATCACTTTTCACTGAGCTCTTGACCATGCTGAGATTAAACTGAACCGCAGCTGGCCTTTAAAGCAACATAGTGGTCAGCGAAGTGGGTAATTGTTGTCTCATCCTTCCTCAGAGTTCTAAAACTATCATAACGGTCCGTAAGCCAAATTGCTGCTGAATGAAATCAGATGATGCACGTGATAAACAGAGGTGAGTAAATAAAAGTAGCACTGGGTTTTTATTCCTTTGATAGTTGCATTTAACTTTGTATTAGCTAAAGTTAAAATTTTGCTATGTGTGTTGCCCTCGTTTGTTAGTGAAGTCTCGTTAAGACTCAAGCTTTGCTTTTTAATCTCATGGAGAAAACCAGCGGGTGCTTCATAATGATATGGAGGAAACTTCTCAGTCACAAGGGTGGCCTGCTCAAAAACATCCCCTATTTTATCCTCTTTTATTTACTCTAATGTTGGACACAACAAAATTAAAATTACTTCTACGGCGTATTCAATAAAATTTCAAATTATGAAATCATATCAGGAAAGTATTTACTGAGGTCATACAGCAAAAGAGTCTATATAGATTGACCTCTATTTGAACCAGAGGAGTCAACCACTCCAGGCCATTAGAAAGAATGCAAGTTTAAGGCAGTTCTGCATTGGCTTCATTTTTCAGTCCCAGAAGCTATGTCCTTATCTTTTTTCATACTGCCTATGGTTGAATGGAATGTATTTAATGTGTTTGTTGAAAACTGCTGTTCACTAAGTTTCTGCAGCTCTTAAATTAGTGACAATCCTCTGTAGCTTTGTCACCTCTTACAAAGTCTTTTGCATATGAATAATTTTACTTACTGGTCCAAAGTGAATTGAAATCTTATGAAAACAACATTCAAAACTGTTGTTCAAATTTTCATTTTTAAAAAAGTGATGTGTTTACTGTCACAGAATCTAAATCAGTCTTTTATCCTTAGCTTCTTTTCTTTTATGGAAATGAAAGGGAATAGTTACTTTATTTAAGAGCTTTCAGAGCATTTATCTTGGATGATTTCTCACTCAGTCTTTTAATTTTAGTGGATTTTAATATTTGCTAATACTGTGGTTCACAGTATGTTTAGTAGATCTGTCCCATCTATCAGCAGAGCCACACAGCAGATCTTGTTTTATTGGCATTTCTGTTAACTTTGAAACCGTTGATATCTGTATCTCTGGCTATTGCATGTGAGTCTGTGATGGCTGCACTTACAGCCACACAGTGGTAATACCCACCATGTTAATGTAGAGGCTTATAAGTAACATTGCATTCACATATCTTTCTTTAAATATAGGAATTAATTTACAGGACAATAAATAACTGTTTTTTGTTTAGAGTTAATTCACATATCCACATAACACTGTATTCTAAAATAAGTGCGCACATTTTAGTTTACACTGTTATGTATGATTCATCTTTTGTTTTCTGAGTTACCTTAGTTGCAGCTGTTCCAGTCCCTTGATTAAGGAGCCAAGAGGTGGAAAAGGGGCGGAGCGAGTTTTAAAGGAACACTACAAATTGGTTCATGCCATAATTCGGGACCATGGGGGGGAATTGGAGTTCATTATGTTTGGTTTAGTTAGGTTTTGTGTGTTTTACCCCTTCTCCTGTTTTTGTGGGCTGATCAGCCACTATTTAAGTTTCCCCTTTGTCTCGTTAAGTTAGGTCAGTTTGTTTGAGTTATCAGTAGTGTTGTCAACTTTGAGTATAGTTTTGTTATTTTGACCTCTTTTATGGGCCCAAGATTTTGATTCTTTTGGCATGATTTAACTAATTATGTTTTTTGGGTTAAATAAAAAATCATTTTTTTGGACTTTAACCTGTGCCTAAGTTTCCTTCACTGCTCGGTCCATCACAGAGTCTACGCTTCGTGTCACATTCCAGCCACAATCCCTTTCTTGTTTCATTATTCCAGCTGCTTTTACTCTTAAGTTTCTGTAGTGCCTTCAAAAATCTATCATAGATGCTTCTTACACAATCAGGCAGTATCTCATGACTCTCGTTAACATGTCTTGCTCCATTATAATCAACAACATAGCTCCACTTAAAGTCCAGAAAACCAACCCTCCTAGCTGAATGAATCTATCTGTGCACCGTTGGTTCTGACTCTTGTACTGTTGATGGTTACGCTCGACACCGATTTCCAACTTAACTTAAAGATAGAACCTTTATTGTCCAAATAGAAACCTGCTCATCATCCTCAGCTTCCATTAACTGTGGCGACCCTCAAGGATCCATTTTAGATCCTTTTTTAATTTTCATTTTATATGCTCCATCTATGTACTCCGGCTTCCTCTTCCTCCCACAGTCCAAAGACATGCAGTTAGTGAGATTTGGGTTAATTGGTGGTTCTAAAATGCCCGTAGTTGTGAAAGTGAGTGTAAATGTCAGCCTGTTTCTCTGTTAGTCCCGTGTCAGGTTGACGACGTGTTCACGGTGTACCCTGCCTCTCGCCCCGTGTAGCTTCCATCAAGTTTCTCTGTTGCTAGAAAAATAGATGCTGTACTTTATGTCCTCCAATTGGGGAAATGTTCCTAGAAGGTACATAACACAACAGTATAATAAATTGGACACGAATGAAAAGCCAGAAATACAGAATACAAATGAGTGAATTGCTAAAAAAATATAAACTGACTGTTTAGAAAGACTCATTTATCATAAGTATCTGCTGTCCCCCAAAGAGAAAAATAAATAATATGACAACAGTTGGACACAGAACAAGCCTCGAATCCCTGGGTGATGCTGATAGTACTGAATGCCCTGTACAAAATGTACTTTAGTCAAAATGTTGAATCTTTTTTTTGAACAAATACATTTGTGAGGAACACTGTTTATTGACTGAGAGCTAATGAAGTGATGGGCCTCCTGAAAATAAATAAGGATTTTTGTCACCACTGTACACACAGGTGGCTTACACAGCTGTGGAAAAGTAACACTCTTGAATATGTACGTGAGCAGGGAGAACGCAGAGGTTAAAGATCATAATCACTACTCTGAAGGATGGTATTATTAATGTAAAGGGCACCTACATTCATTCGTTGCCATTAATGATTATGTCCGAATATAATAACTTAACCACATAATTGTGCAAAATAAGCAGTGATCTAAAGCCTCGGGGTGGGGGTGTTGAGAGGCATTAAACTATGTCCTTGTTCTAATGAGGACAAATCCCTGAAGATGAAGTTATTTCACAATCACAGCCACTGTTATTTCACAGTGTGAGCCTATGGCACAAGAAAAAGCATCAACACAAAGACTACCCTGTTTGTTTTATGACATAGATTTAATATAGCCCAGTGGGTCTGCAGCTAATTTATTAAATGTCAAAAATATTCATCACAAAAAAATGCGGCATGCACCCTAATTTTGTTCCAAAATAAAGATTTACTGTAATGTAATAAATACAAAACACCAATTTTAAATTAGTACTTTAATTCCAAAAAACATTTGTTAAAATCTAAATCAGAACTCATCACACTGTTCTTCCAGTTTCATTTTTTCACAGTTCATCCTAGGATGAAGATGCAGGGTTACTCGGATGCACACTTGGATGACGCTTCACACGTTTCTATGCTGCCCTCTGCAGGACAGAAACTTTAAGGCAACATGACTTTACAAGTTCTGTTAACAGAGCAGGCACAGCACTTCAGATGCATCATTTCTCTGAACCGAAGTCAAAGTTGTCACAGAACAGTAACTGCGATAAGACATTAACGTTGCTAACCGGAACTTTACTTTTAGAACATGCTTTAACATACAGCATGTGTTTCTAAGCAGCAGGTCAATCATAAAGATTTCAAGGGTCATCTCATAAAACAGAGAAGCATCCTGAGACAAACTCTGACATGCATCTAATTAGACCAAACACTAGGATTATAGAATGCTACAGCAGTTCTTCACAGGCATCTTTATAGATTTAAAAAGAATTGTAAGATATCAAGTGGTTATTGAAAAATTTACTACAGAAGCTCTGAGAAGCCAGTCAGACAGAAATAAAGAAAAAAATCTAGTGGTTTTTTAAAAAGGGTGGTCTATTTCTTTTTTGTCACTCCTGTGTTAAAGCAACTCATTCTCATTACCAAGGCTTCAAATGCAGTCATTTTACACAATACGCACAAAGTGTCCGTTGGCATTGATGTACTGACACACTGATTATGGCATTAGTTGGTGGCTGTCGTTCCCAGCTTGTCACATAAGGATGAACAAACTACTCCTTTCACATCTGAATGAACTTGGTAAGTTTCATTCTTGAATGTAGAGTGTTAATGATGTGATGGGGCATCTTGTAAAAAGTGTGATCATTCCAAAGCAAGTAGTTTTTTAAGGTTAGATGTAACCAGTGGGTGATAGCATTTAGAAAATAAGCAAAAGCTTAGAAATGTATTTTCTTTTGAAATGTGAAGAAGGAAGTGGAAGACACCAAGCTCTGAAATGTGACACAAACTGCAGTCTCCTGGGTGACAAACTCATGACTTCTTTCACATCCCCTCTAACATCAGAAAGCGTATTTTGTCGCCCTTTAAAAGAGGACCCATTATGTCTCAGCACCTAATATTGTCTCAGCCAGTGCATCAAGGGACAGATGCCAAAAGGACACTTTATGGGTATCTCTGCAGCACTAGCAGTAGTGTTTTATCTGACACCTGTGAATGAGAATGCATTGATTTATGACTTAAGAACAGGCAGGAAAAAGAAAAAAAATTCTATATTTAATATTATTCATATGGGAGAAGAGATGAAAGAAAACAGACTGTGTTAGAAGGTAAAACTGTTTTGGGTTTTTTGGGTTGTTGTTTTTTTTAATCTGCCCCAAATTCACAATGTGTTTGTACAGTACGATTTTTGGTCAAGAGGTTGTCCCTGTGTTTTGAATGAAATATAAACTCTTATTTGAGAATGAGTGCAAAAAACAGTAACACTGATGACTGTCTCAGATAATAAAAGGTGGTGATTTAGACCCATTTTACTTCAAGTTAAACCCAACACACCCCTAACGAGCTATGATACATTTATATCCAAAGGAAATTCATAAAAGTAATGTTAGAAATGTGCCAACACACAATGTAAGTGCCTCATGTTTATACTAAATGCTGAAATTAACATGAGGGCCTTTAGTTTTATTTATAACATGGAATAGAGATACCTCTAGTGGCCAAAATTAGAACTGCAAAACACTTTTTTCCCCTGTTAAATAACAAATTAAGAAAGATTACTCTGGCAAAAGAAATTCCAATTAGTCAAATACAGGAGAGTTAAGACTTTAGATAATGTGCAAAACCCTCAATTTGCCACGAGGGCTTCTGCACAAAACAGCCTCTATCTTCATTAGGATTTTAACAGCCTGCTCCTCTGGTTCACACTTTCTCCACTAATTTCCTTCTCACTTAGAAAATGCAGCATTAGCAATACTGGTCCTTATCTTCTCTAGATCTGAGAGTGAAATGCTAACAGAGGAACGAAGTAAAATACAAAATATCTGGTAAACGATAATGTAACTTTAACCTGCGAAAAGTCGATTTCCAGTTCTAAAATATAAATTAATCAACAAGGAAGATAACAAATAAATCAGTACCAAGAGCACAGCCCACGTGGTTAACGTTGGTTGGAATGGTTATTATGGAATTACGTAACAGCTTGTTTAGTCATGCTTCAGTAATGGCTTTGGTATTTACTGTTACTGTCTATCAGAGTCACACTGAGGACAAGGCCATGCTGGGTTTGTTTTTAAGCTTCATAAGTAGATTTTACAATTCTATAAATCCTAAACATGTCTTGGTATAATATGATAACAATCAAAGGTTAGAAAAGGACTTATTTAAGCAACAATTATTAATTCAATTATTACAATCACGTACCCATCTGTAGCTAAAATGATCATGGATATCGATTAATTTTATCATCTGTCATTCTAATAACACATTACAGACCTTTTTGATTAAATCATTTCTAACTAATATCATATCATTAGTATTTATGGATAATCAGAAGAGGATTAGCTCCTTACTGGAAGTTGGTGCTCCAAATAAAAAAAAAACAATTTAACTACTAGCTGTAATGTAGAGGTAGAGCTAAAGGAGAGGGAAAGCATACACAAGCCATATCAAACTGTGTGTGTCTTCCTTCCTTCCCTTCTTTCCTTTGATGAACAGCAGAGTGACTGTGGGTGTAGTGATAGGCAGTAAGGGTGGCTTAAGAGCGGCTGGTCAGAGCGCAATCAGGAGATGATACGAATGCCAAAGTGTTTCTTGAGCTGCTCAAGGAAGATGAAGGTGAGCACTGTGTGGGGAATCAAGCGGATTCCTGCAGGAACAAGTCCCTGTAAGCAAAAGTTACCAAGAGATTACTATTTGCAAGTTTCCTCTAACAAATCTATTCAATTAGAGCTCCTACATGAGATTAGGCAATAAACTAAACAATGCTTTTAATATTTTATTTATTATTTTTGTAAGGGTATTTCTTTTTTCTTATTTTAATTTCATGGAGGTCACAGGTACAGATGAGGCTGTAGATGAAAAATAGCTTCTTGGTGATCGTAGTCATTTGCAGCAATCTTTATTCATCTTTGCTGCCCTGTTGAATAAACTAATGCATAAAAATGTTGCAGTTTGTGTTTATGCACAATGCCAACGTCATCAACAATTATCTCCAGCAAAAACAAGAATAAGGAGTACTGTAAAAGATTATCTGCCCCCACATCCACCAGATCTCAGCAACATAATCAATACAAGGCCCTGAAATGATAAAATGGATGGAAGTACAGCAAGTAGAAACCTGAAAGTCTGTCATGTCTCTATATCCTCTGGTAGCAGCCATTGTTAACCTCAGCTGCTGTAGGTCAGTGGTTCCCAAACTGTGGTATGCGTACCACCGGTTGTACGTGAGCTCCCTCTAGTGGTATGCGGGAAGTATTCCCCCAAAAAATAAGATTAAATAATATACCCTGTTCTGACTGAGGGATTTCTGAAAAATTAAAAACGTACAGCTCGGCTATCGCTTCTGACATAAATGAAGACAGAAAACTAAACAGCAGTGATGCTTGTAGGGTTACTGAATTTGGACTACCTGGTATATAATGATGTCCTATGTGGTGGCTAGCTACACAGCTATGGTTAGCATGATATAAACACATCAGCACAATGAAGCTAGAGGATGAACGCCATCTTTTTTCAACTCAATAAAAGTTAACGCGAGGGTTCCCGATGGTGAGGGACAAATGCAATCGCATGTCAGGATGATGTAAACGGACCAAACTTCTGTCAGGAGAACAACTGAGAAAATCCATCCACAATATGAGGTTAGTCATTAATATATTGCTGCATGGGCTGGGCTGCAAAACTGAGCTTTAAAATAAAATAAAAACAAGAGAGGCCAACAGTGATCCCTGCCTTTCTTTTTTTTCCTTTCTTTTTTAAAGGGGTTTGTTCGAATTAAATATAACAAGATATTTAGCATTAAAACATGTTAAAAACACAACAGCCTTGATAAATGCAGAGTGGCTTTGACCCGGAAGCAGGGTTCATACATCATCACTTAAGGACAGCTGCTGTGAATGTTTTAATGCAATACAGCTGTTATGATCATCACTTGTCACATCCTGTTTATGACACCTAATTTTATTTCTTATATGAATGCAATTTTATCATTTACAGCAAATTATACATTTTACAACTTTATGCTTCATGAATTTTTAAATGACCCACAGGTATCCTCTTTGTTATTAACAGTGCTCCAGCTTTTAACTGACTATTGCTTTATTTTTTGTGAGGAAGTATGAGTATGTGTTTCAGGTCATACAACCACCTCTAAAATGTTTGTTTTAAAAGAGAGTAAAATAACTGAAGTGATACATTTAGGTTTTAAATGTATTTTGTTTTGTGTGTCTTTTACCTTGTAAAATGCCAGTGGACCCAGTATGGCTGTTTCTCGTAAGCAATGTATCACCCCCTGAAGACAGAGACATTAGTTAAAACTGAATACCAGCAAATACCAGGATTGAGGGATGAAAGTATGAGAAATTAAAAAGTGATAAGAAATGATCCACTCACTGTATACTCTCCTTTTGAATTCATCAGCCTCGTCTTCAGTACGTCTAGAGGCTGACACAGGAATGTAGCACAGCCTCCCTGCAAATGATGTAGATGCAGTTCATATGAGTGAAGATCAATCAACAAAAATGTAAGTGCAAAACGTCTGCAAAATGTCTGTGTGATCAGTCATGGTTGTCTTGAGAGCTTGGAAAAGGAAGCCACTGAACTTTTTTAACTTTGTGAAGACACTTCACCTCTTGGATGAAGACATTTTGCGTCTTAAGGTAAAGGCTCGTTCTGACAAAACCTATAAGGTTCACTTACTTATTAAAGCTCTCAAGACTTTATACGAACTGAATTAGACTAAAATAAAACCAGATACTTACCGCAATGAAGCTGGAAAGAAAGTGTGTGAATATGTTATCTCCCATCATGCCTGTTCCTAACACCAGCTGCTTGGCTTGGTCATAACATGCCAACTACAGAAGAAAAAAATAAGAGGAAGAAAATGAGTGTTAGTGGTAAAAAGAAATAATGTGCCGTTTCTGAATTTCCTACAACTATAGAATTAAATAGTTGGCTGCAATTTGGATTATTTTAAACTTTTTTTGCCCAAAAGATAGTGACATCCTAGAATTTAGTTTTACAAAGAACAAACAAACAAGTCCAAAATACAGTCAAAAATTTACATTTTGAGTTTGGCTCCCCCTAGTGGTAGTAAAGGAGAAAAAAAAAGACGATGTCAACAAGTGGGAGTGTTGAGTAAAAATATTAAGACAGCTGGCTGTAACAGTTACACAGCGATCAGTCATGCTTGGAGAATGTAATGTAACAAGCACAGCATGTTGTCAAAATATTCTTGCTTTCTTCTTACACTCTATACCAGCGGTCCCCAACCTTTTTTGCGCCATGGACCGGTTTATGCCCGACAATATTTTCACGGACCGGCCTTTAAGGTGTCGCGGATAAATACAACAAAATAAAACTAGAACCGGTACGGAAAAAAAAAAAAAAGATTTATTCATAACACACGTGAAAAGACCAAGGAAAACCAAGTTAACAATAAAAACGATAACAAAATAACGCTGAAAACTGATAAAAACCCTGAAAACCATACATTTCATACCTGAGCCTCAACTCTCGCGGCCCGGTACCAAACGACTCACGGACCGGTACCGGTCCAAGGCCCGGGGGTTGGGGACCGCTGCTCTATACAACAGAAATACTGCTTGATGTTTTGCTGCTGCAGACCTTCAATGATCTGTCTCAAACATAAAATGTACTTTATACTCATTTTGTGACTTACAGTTTAAATTTTTCTGATTACACTTTTAGAATAATTAGATGTGAACAGTTAGAACGGCGCTACATTGCTTTTTGAATGTCATTTAAGTGAGAGTTACAAACTTTTTCAGCCAGAAAAGGACAAATTGGGTCCACTGTATGGCGAAAAATCCTTTTTACCTTGTTACTTTTAATTAAAATAATTCAGAAATGTTTACGGTTGTGCCACTCTGACATTAGAATGCATGCAAATTGCTGGACAAAATTATTTCAAGTATCTAAACAACTATCAAACTTTTCATAGTTACCGATTTTGATTATTCCAACAATTTAAGTCATGTCTGAATAATTCATTTTAAATTTTTGATCAATTAAGCACCAATCTTAACAGTTTTTTTAGTCCCTTGACTGTTAAAGAATATTAATTAAATGCAGTGAAAATACATTTAAACTGAATTTTACATAATACACTCTTCAGATCTTGAATTGACTGAATGATTTTAAATACAAATAATGTCCTTTATCAGGAAATAAGAATATCACATCAATAACCCAACAATATTAAAATAAAAAATAAAATAGATGCAAATCGCCCATCATTGACCCGAGAACTATTAAGGTCTCTAACATTTTCATACATTGTGATAATTGTTTACAATTGGTATTGTTAAAGAAAATACAGACAATATTTCCTGATAGGAAATTGTAGCCGCGAGCACATTTGTACTACCGTAACTTGCCTGTCCCACAGTAACCATTGCTCCTCTGCTGGAGGCCATGGAGGCTCCTGAAAAGAGTTTCCTGATGCCCTCTGCATGACAGGATAGAAATCAGAAGTCACACGTGATACCCGTGAGAGCTAAACATGAAGCTATAGTATATCCTATTTGGTATTTACCTTCTCTGAAGACCCTGAAAAGTCCATCAATGGCATGTTTGTAGCTGGAAGAAAAGAAAAAAAAATAAAGCATTAAATTAATAAAAAACATTCAAGCCGAACTTTTTAGACTACGAATTACAACACTCACTTTCTCCTCAGTTCTGGTGGTAGTTTCACGTCATTCTGCATCCTAGGGGCAAGTACATTTCATATGTTCTGATTTCTATATTTAGTGATTGCAGTAATTTGGATACAGAACTGTAACTGTATGTTACCTGACATTCACCATGTCTGCAGGGGTCCCAACAAACCCACCAGTGAAACCTGTTGGCAGAGAAACCTTGTTGGAATGCGTGTTTGTGAAAGCCCGAGTTATAGTGTGTGTGTGTGTGTGTGTGTGTGTTCTCCAACCTCCAAAGGCTCCCAGCAGGACCTTCTGGTAAAAAGGCATGGGGCCCTGGTTCGTGCTGCCCATCATGTCCCTCACTGTTTCATAGATGGCAAATCTGGTGAGGGAATATGACATCTGACAAGAGAAAGAAAAGAAAGAAAAAGACAAGAGGAGAAAGAATTCTTTATTTAATTATTAAAAATTTTGTATTCTGGTTCTTTTCCCCCCCTTTTTCTTTTCTTTTTCTTTTGTAAATCGACTAGTACGGACGGACGGACCTACCTACCTACCTAAAGCAAAGCAGTTTTAAAAGCAGCCTTTACATTAGTGAACTTTCATATATTCTTCATTTATTATGTCCCAAGTAAAATATTTCAAGCCTTTAGTTTGTTTTGTTTTTTTCATTTTCAGGATTCACATAGGACTGAGATCAGGCGAGTCAATCAGTAATCACATGGTCAGACCACCATTTAACAGCACCATTTGACAGTACAGAGAGGTGCTAAGACCTGCGGGAAAATTATACTGACATCTCCATGAAGTTTGGCAGCAGAAGGAACCATGAAGTCCTCTAAAGTCCTTCTGCTGATAAAACCACGAGCAACACCAGCAGATGACATGGCACTCCAAACCACCACAGACTGCAGAAACTACACACTGGACTTCAAACACTTTAGATTCTGTCCCTCTGCACTTTCTCCAGACTGTATTACCTTGACATAAAACAAGGAAATAAAATGAAAACCACTTTCATCTGTAAAGAGGACTTTGGACCGTTAAACCAAAGTTCAACTCTTTTTTCTTTATCCCAAGTAAGATGTTTTTGACACTGTCTCTGGTTCAGGATGAACTGTAGCTCCTTTCCTGAAGATGTTTGTCCGTGGTGGCCCTTGATGCATTGACACCAGACTCAGTCCACTCCTTCTGAAGCTTTTCCAAGTTCCTGAAATTACTTTTCCTGGCAATCCTCTCACGGTTGTGGTTATTCAGGCTGCTTGTTGACCTTTTGATACCACACTTCCCCCTTCTAGTCAACTTTCTATTGACCATCTATTGATCAATGCATCGACACAGCATTCTGCAGTCAGGCTTTGTCACCTTTGTCAACTGGACAACTGTCAAGTCAGCAGGTTTCCCATGACTGTGGCTGAATGTGATAGAGTGCACAGTACTACTACTGTTTAAATTTACACAAACTCTAAATAAAATACGCTAATAATTTGAGATAATTTGGATTTCTGATTTTTATGAGCCTTTAGCCATAATAATTAAAGTTAAAACAAAAATATTTGAAATATTTCTCTTTATTTGTAATGAATACAGATATTATAGTTTATTTTACTTACACAAAACATTTTCAAAATTGTCTTGAACTTCATAATTACTAATTCATTTAAACATTTGGGTGTATTTGGTATGGCTTAGGTGCGTGCGCCTTTAATTACAGGGTGGTTGAGAGGAGAGTTTAGTTCATTTACGGTCTAACAGGATCAAACTTGAACAACCCTTTATTGACAACTGTTCATTCTCACCGCGGTCACACCTCTGCAACATTTATAGACTTGCAATTCACCAGTGACGTATTTGATCATATCCTGCTGCAATAAACCAGTTATTTTATTCATCAACCACAGTTAACTTCACATAATATTCAGCACTACAGTGTAGTAAGTTTAAAGAGTAACATTTTAATCTCAGTACTATGCATGTGCTACAGGTACCAAATTACATGCTTAAAGTAAATGTCTCACTCTGTTTTAGTGAGAGAAACAACCAATGAAGAAAACAACACACACAAGCACACAAAATCCTATGGTATGCACACAGGCACCCATACCTGTCTACATAGTGAAGCAGATAGACCACTGTATAGAGCCAGGACTCCGTCGTTCTTCACCACATGAACAGCCATTCCAATCATCCTCTTCTTTACCTCCTGCTGCGTCTGTAAGTGTACCTGGACAGACAGTCATGAAGATCACACAGTAAATACACAGCAAATAATGAAGAAACTGATATAATGTGTGTTTATTGTGGCTGATACAGCAACCTCACAAACTTTTAGTTTTACAGAACAACTTGTACCAACAAGGTGTGACTCTGTATAATCTGAATTCTCTGGTATTAGTAAAGCTCTAAAACACTCACCAAGCTCTAACGAGACAGTCGTAAGAGGAGGATAAGGCATGATAATGTGCGCAATTTAGGCAATCATAAAGAAGTTTTCCAAATGTGTTACCAAGTTTTATTTTTCTTATCAGAGAAGGTCAATGGTCCAAAATGTGGCTTTAATCCTATGTTATTACCAAGATTACAGCATGAAGGTCACTGAGCCTTCAAATGAAACTGTTGTCAGTGTCTACTGCAGTAAAATAGCTGTATAAATAGTTATGATTCTTTGAGTCACTTTTTGTTTAATCACCATCCTGCTGGTTTACACTGACAGACTGTTTTTAGCACAGTTCAAGTCAAATGGGAAATTTAATATTCATTTCCTAGTTTTACTTTGGAGCTCTCAGTATCTCCTTTATCACAGCTTTTCAAAGTATCAGCAGTGACATGGAGAACTACTGACAGTCTGTACTGAATTCTGTTGGGTTGGGCTTAGGACTCTCTGCAAGACAGCCAAGTTCTTCCACCCCAAACTCTCTCATCCATGTCTTTGTGGACCTTGCTTTGTGCACTGGTGCGCAGTCATGTCTTGCTGTTCTAAACTCTCCCACAAAGTTGGGAGCATGAAATTCTCAAAATAGTCTCGTTATGGTGAAGCATTAACAATTTCTTTCACTGGAACTAAAGGGCCGAGCCCCACTCCTGAAAGGCAACCTCACACAATAACCCCCCCTTCCGCCTACCTAGCAGTAGCCAAACCCAGAGTTGTCCATCAGATTGCCAGATGGAGAAGAACGATTAGTCTCTCCAGAGAACATATCTCCATTGCTCTAGAGTCCATTGGCAGCATGCTTTACATCACTCCATTCCATGCCGCTCGGCCAGGGAAAACCATTCCACAAAGATCTCTACGTTCTTGAGCTAATCTGAGGGCCGCATGAAGTTTGGAGGTCTGTAGCTATCGACTCTACAGGAAATGACAGAACTCTGTATACTATGCATCTCAGTATCCATTGATCTGGCTCTGTGATTTTACATGACCTACCACTTTGTTGTTGGTGCAATTCCAAATAGCTTCCACTTTCTTACAATACCACTAAAAGTTGAACATGAAATATTTATTTATTTTTTGACTGGACTTGTTCCACAGGTGGCAGCTTATGACTGTATCACCCTGGAAGTCCCTGAGCTCCTGAGAGCGACCCATTCTTTCACAACCGTTTGTAGATGCAGTTTGCCTGACTAGGTGCTTGATTTTATATACCTGTGACCATGGAAGTGATTGGAACACCTGAATTCAATGACTTGTAAGTGAAAACTTTTGGTAATACTGTGTAGTATTGGGGTGTTAACTGCACAATCACTACCCCGACTTAAGCTGAGTTAAACTGGACTCGACAACATTTTGCATGTTTCTGGAATCTTATTTTTATTATTTTAAGCATGGCTGCACTTGAGGAACTTTTCCATTCTGTTCCTTGTTTATCCCAACACTGCTGTATGTGCTTTGTCCTCAGTGGTTACTATACTTAACCCTTTATTGACCATGGGCCCACCGGCGGGCCCATTTTACAGGTAAATTTGAAGGGCCGGTCAATAAAGGGTTAAGCTATCAGTGAATCAACACGCATTCACAAGCCAAGAAACACTTGTGCACACTCATTGTGTTGTAATATTACACCAGGATGAGGTGATAAGAGTCTGGCTAAACTATTGTCTTTTTAGGTGAGGTCAGAAAAATCTTGTTTAGCAACTCTCCAGTACAGGTTCAGAAAACAAAAAACTGTTTATCTGATGGTGTAATAGATCTCCTGATTAACACACATACAAAAAAAGTATGCTGATAGGGCATGACCAGGCAGTTTTCTTATTTGACGTGGGTTTGGTGATAGTTAGGCTCGATACTAGCTTGAACAAAAATACACGTCATTCCTAAATGCAGACGTCCTGCTGTTAACGTTTATAAAAATGCAGTGTGTTGGTATGCGTTGGCTTTGTAAGTTGCAAAGTTGCAAACTGCCTTAATGTTGGGTTACAAACTACAGAATAAACCCCCAGTTCTTTTGTGTATGATAAGCTCTAATTATAAGCGTATCCTGTCTTTTCTTTATCCAATGATAGCTCCCTACAAAACCTATAAAGTTGTTATTATGGTATTTAACTCGTGGGGGAATGAAGGTTATTACAGAGGAGTAAAGATGACATATTTAGGCTGCAGTGGAACACCGCTCAATGCTCTGAACTACAGACTGAATACTTTAAATCTGTTTTTATGCTAAAAGATAGCAAGACAAGCAGTGACAAGCAAACATGGAATGCGACTCACTTCAACCATATATCAAAAGTAAACAGAATCAGTGAAATTCCCTTTTGTTAAGTAAACAAACAATTCTCCCACATGGGATCCAATTCACTCTGACACAAAGAATAACAATGAACAAAACAGCATCACCATTAGCTTTCAGAACACACCCTTTCATTTCCGCAACAAGGAAATAAGCTGCCCTTACTTGCCCTCAGTTTATGGAAATAACCACAGTACTGTATACAACACAATAAAAACTTGCACAGTCACTCTATTGTCTCACAGTGAAATCACTTTGTAGTTCACTAATGTGGACTATCATGTTAGGCAAGAATAGCTTGTCAGTAATAAATCTCATAATCACCTTAAGCTAACTAAAATCAGGTTACTAACAAAAACCCCATGGAGGACAAATGTTGACTGCTTTTTTATCATTTCCTGAAAACTAGTCCTTGAGGCAACTTTTGTTTTGGTTTAGCACTATATAAATACAATTGAACTGAACTGAACAGAAGCGTCTATAATTTATCTTTTAAATAATACTTTTAGAGGTCAAAGGTTCATCACTGTCATGAAAGGTGCCTTGATTTTTCCTCTGCCATAAACTTGTATTTTAATCTTTCCCATAATTTGCGTGCCAACTACGAAAATGAAGCTACACTTCAAAAACATCTCCGACCAGTTCACAAGCTAACACACATAGAGCACTTCAGGGCATTTTTTGCAGTGGGGTAATTGCAAGCCTTAACTACATAATTACACACCACAGGACTTCCTGAGGACCAGTGCGCCTTATTAGGGTCACATGCTGCTTTTTTCTGTGCAATCAAAAGGGAGTAACACAAGAACGAATTTGAGTAATCTGTTAGAGATGTACAAATTTACTTCTCTATGCAGCAATGTGACGAAATCAACAAGAGTGAACAAGCAGGTCCCTGCAAACACTCACAGATCTGCATTCTCCACCAAGGAGAGTATGTGATAAAAGTTTTTTTTTTTTATTTCTCAGTGTGATTTAAATTGCAATTAATCTATTGATATCCATACATACATTCTCTTCCACTATCCATTTCACAGTTGGGGCAGCTGGAGCCTAACTCAGCTACCATAAAGCGAGAGGCAGGAGTAGCCCCTGGACTTAATGCCACCCTGTCGTAACACCACTTTTTTATAATTTTACTCAAGTAATCAACACGGTTTGCTAATTAGACCTGTATATCCTAGAATGGAAGTCTAGTCCCAATTTATCTTAATTCATAAGTTACATATGAGTCATGAGTGGGCCTGAACAATAACACCACTCTTCTAAAATTTGCCATAAAACAAAAAGTATAATTTATCCATTTACAAAACAATTAGCAGCTTGAGATAAATACAATTTCCAAGATATATTTCAGTTTTCCACATTTAATAAGACTACTGTCACTGCACAATGCTTACAGTTTACAGATGACAGGAACAAAATCTTCACATG